CATGTTGCTGCAAATGGCATTATTTCACTCTTTTTAATGGCTGAGTAATATTCCATTATATATATATGTACCACATCTTCTTTATCTATTCATCTGTCGATGGACATTTAGGTTGCTTCCATGTCTTGGCTACTGTAAACAGTGTTGCAATGAACATTGGGGTACATGTATCCTTTCAGACCATGTTTTTCTCCAGATAGTGTATAAAAGGGACCCCCACAGAGATCCCTCTCCCCTTCCACCATGTGAGAAGTTGCCAGCTATGAACCAGGAAGAGGGCCTTCACCAAAACATATCTATTCTAGGGGCTTGATCTTGGACTTCCCAGCCTCCAGAACTGTGAGAAATATATTTCTTGTTTTACAGGCCATCGAGTTTGTGGTACTCTATTATAGCAGCCTGAATAGATGAAGACACAGACCCTCTATATTTTTTCATAAGCATGTTTGCCATTCAATCAAAAATTACCCAGTGTACTAAAAATAAATAATAATAATAATCAAGATAAAATCAAATAATAAAAACAGTCACCATAATAAAGTCTCCATTTTGAAAGCCTTATAAGGCTCCATAATCACTTATTTAAACAAGTACAAATTCAATTAAATGAAACATGGCACATTCCAGTCACCAGGCAAACATCAGAGGTGAATTATAAAGAGTCTTAACTCCATTTTGAATATTTGACTGCTGACAGTGTTTAAGTCTCACTCTTCTCCCTTTTCCTCTTGCTCCACAACTGGGCAAACTGATAGGAAAACCCACCTTTTTTGGATGCCAGTAGGGAAATTTGAAGAAACATTCAAGATCCAGCCCCTCCGTGGAAATCTTGACTCCAGCCCCACAGCTTGATAAAGACCAAAAGCACCTGTTCATCTCTTTGCTGAAGCCACTGTGGACTGGCTTGGGCACCTGCTCTGCTCTCTCTAGAAAGTCCCACTATGTGAGTAAAAGAGCTGTTCATACCCTCTTGGTGGCTGCTGTTGCATCATCAGTCTTGAAATCCAAGCTGATTTCAGGGGGCAGGGAAAGTTGCCCTCTGTGGGGCAACTACAAAACGGAAACAAAATTGATCCAAATATTGGAGTTCTTTGACTTGGATTTTTAAAATAACTCTGATTAATGTTTTCGTTTGTTTGTTTGTTTGTTTGTTTTTTTGGTTTTTTTTGTGGTACACGGGCCTCTCACTGTTGTGGCCTCTCCCGTTGCGGAGCACAGGTTCCGGACACACAAGCTCAGCGGCCATGGCTCATGGGCCTAGCTGCTCTGTGGCATGTGGGATCTTCCCCGACCGGAGCACGAACCCGTGTCCCTGCATCGGCAGGCGGACTCTCAACAACTGCGCCACCAGGGAAACCCTTGATTAATGTATTTTTTAAAGGAGATAACCTGATAATGAATTATACCAGAGAACTGGAATCATTTAAAAAAAAAAAATGAATCAACTAGAAATTCTTAAATAAAAATTGAACTCAGTAGATCAGTTTTAAGCATATTGAACACAGATGAGTGAGCTTAAAATTAGGTCAGTAGAAAATAACCAGACATAAGTATAGCTTAGGAAGAAACTTATAGCCTTAAATGCACATATTTTTAAAATAAGAAGGGCTAAAAATCAATGATATAATTATCCATCTCAAAAAGTTAGAAAAAGAACAGTAAGTTATACCAGAAGAAAGCAGAAAAAAGAAATACAAAGATTGGAGCATAAATAAAATTTAAAGAAAAACAAAATCTATGAAGCTGAAAGCTGTGTTTTAGAAAAGATTATTAAATTGATCAAACTCTTACAAAACTAATCAATTAAAAAAAAGAGAAGACACCAATTAGCCATATGAGGAATGAAAGAAAGAAAGAAAGAAAGAAAGAGTAGTACAAATTCTCACACATTAAAAAAATTAGAAGAAATGGACAATTTTATGCTGAAAACTTACAAAATTAAATTTAAATAAATTCCTAGAATACAACTTACCAAAGCTGACCCAAAAGGAAATAGAAAATTTAAATAGTCTTAGGTTTAAAAAAAAAGAATCTGTACTTTAAAAAATCTCCCTCAAATAAATACCCAGGCTCAGATTGCTATATCAGTGAATTCCTCCAAATATTTAAAAAATATATAATGCCAGTCTTACACATTCATTCACTCCCAGAAAACAGAAAGATGGAATAATTTCTTACTCATTTTTTGAGGGAAAGCATAATTTTGATACCTCTGAAGGAGAATAAAGGAGACAAAAATCATACAACTGTCTCAAAATGTGCAGAAATCTTGTTTTATATAACTTTATGCGTATTCATGATTTTTTAAAATTTTAGTGAAGGAATAACAGAAGACAGCTAAATTAATCTACTAAAAGTACCTGCAAGAAATCTAGAACAATCAATATAATTAGTGGTAAAATATTTAAATTTTATCACTGTGATCTAAAAGTAACAGAAATATCTATTACCACAATATCGACCTGAACATCTGGCTAGTGCAATAATGCAAGGAATAAACAAGATACAAGGACTGGAAAAAAAGAAATACAACTGTCATAATTTTCAGACAACATGATTGTGTATACAGAAAATCCTAAAGGCTACAGTCAAAATTTGGCATTAGTAAGCGAATTTATCAAGTTAATGGATATGAAAATCAATATATCAACCAAATTTTTCATATTATGGACACAGAAACTAAGGCCCAGAAAAGTGCCCAAGTCCATGCAGACACTTTCAAAATGGAAAAATGGTGACTCTCAGCCCAGCACTCAAGTTTTCTTACATGTATGCATCCGCAATGAAGCACTTGTTTGAAGTACATAAGCTACAGAAATGTTTTCAATTCCTGTTCACCTCTAATCAAACACAGGCTAGTGCATACCCTAGCCATGGCACCTCCTGGGTATCAAGAAATTCTAAAATGCTGCTGCAGTGACCACACAGGAGGGAAGGAAAGGAACAACTAAGGGAAGCAAATCAGCAACGGTCTGAAATGTGGAGTCTGAATGACATGAAGCTACTGCTTCTGGCACAAGTTGTGGATCAAGGATCACCCGGAGTGGCTGGATTCCCCTTCAGTGAAACCTACAGATGGGATGAAGGGAAATGGTGGGTGTGTCCAGGGTCTATCACAGGAGAAGGGAGAAAGAATAGACGAGTGAGCTACTTGGTCCTGGCCTCACATTTACACAGGGCATCAAGTTTGAACTTCAAACATCATCTACAAATGAGGTTACACACAGAATTACAGAAAGACACTGACAGGACTGAAAGTAGGAGATGTTTATCATATAACTTTGAAGTCATGTCCTTTGCTTCGTCCTTAATGCCTACGACACTATGAATTAACATTCTCTATAAATTCTGCAGTTATCATGTAAATACTGTGATTATATGTGTGGGGTGATGTATCTGTAGGTTAATATTATTATTTATTACATACAAATATTTTAAATATTTTTGTAGCACTCATTCAGCATTCTTTCTTTCCTCCTCTTCCTCTCTGTGTCCTTCTACCCCTTTTCCTCCTTCTTTACCTGCTCTTTCTCAAAATAACAGAAAGGGCCAGAACTTCCAAGGCAACCTTGGAAAGACTCTGGATTCTTCAATGGCCAATTTGGAGCTTGGAATTTCTGTGTGGAATGTGAAGACTAATAGGGTGCTTGCCCCATCCGTGGGGACAGAGCCAGAAAGACTGTCTTGATATTATAAGTATGACCCTATCTTTAGCTCTAGTCTGGTGTCACCTCAAGACACTGGAGCTATGGTAGGAAGTTCAAGGGTTTTATTTTAGTAGTTTCAGCTTTTGCATGTTCAGCTTGCCAACTGCTGTCATGGGTGATAGCTCAGCCTGTGTCCTAGAGGACCAGGGGCCTCCTCGAGGCTTGATGTAGGACTTCCTGCAGGCTGAGTGTTCAGCCCCAGAAGCGACAGCAGTGCTGGATTAACCAAAGAGTGAACCAAGCACATGCTTAGGGCACAATTAAATTGGAGCACAACCCCATCACTCACTGCAAGAAAAATGGAGAGTATTTCATATCTGATGAACTTATTCAGAATCTAATTTTGCCATCCAAAGAAAATAAAAAGTAATTTATTTAATTTATAGCTTGCATTTAAGTTGTCTGCAGTTTTGAGTAATTTTATTTTATTTTTGAGTTACAGTGGGGCTATACCAGAGTTTTTGTTGCTGTTTTTGCTGTTGTTTCTAAGTACTCAGACCCTGAAAAAGTTTTAACCTGGCTCTGATAACCATTCCCTTAATTTGCCAGGACCCTTGCCCTCCTTGACTCTTTTTCTCTATCACACACATTTCCTGTTCAGCATCTCTCTTTTCTGTGTAGCCCCACATCACTCAATCCAACCTTTGCCAAGCTGTTGGTTTTCAACTCTTAGATTTAGGCAGTCTGGTTAACATTTCGCTTTTATTTTGTTTCCCCTGAACAATATTTTCCTCAAAATCACACAGCACAATTTTGCGTTTATAAAGCAACTCCCACAGATGTCTCTAACACAGAGAATATACTTAGGACCTGAACTTACACTCCTACTACTGCCCCAAGATCCTTCACCAGGAGTTCAGACATCTCTTATAGGGAGGGGGGATTGATTTTTACATGTTCATAATGTGGCCAGCTAATCCAGGCTTAGGTGAGTGGAGTGGAGATGGGGACGAAAAGGGAACAGTGTTTAAATCTCCTTTTGGCAATTTTAATTCTATACCCTTTAATCAAACCTGGTCTTCAGAACTTTGGAGGGTCCTTTCTATTGCTCCTGTTTCAGCCTCTGCTTATTGTTCAGGAAAATTGGCAGACATGTTTCAGAACACGTTTAGAATTGTCTAATACAGAGAGGAGAGATTACTGAAAACCTGTTTCCTTTGCAAGGGATGGAGTCAACAGAAAATAAAAGAAAGATCCAGGAAAACCATAGAAGGATGGCCTGTTGAAATTCCAAGAGACATGTAGAGATTAAACCCACTGATAAATTCTAGTCTTGGGCCTCTCTTGACTTACCTCCACCAGCTTGTTGGCATGCTCGCGGAAAACCTGGGCGTATTCCTTCACTTCCTTCTCATTCCCACTTTTTGCAGCCTCAATGAGAACTAGCAAAGGGACGTTGGTTTCCAAGAAAGAATCAGATATGTGATCCATCACTGCTTTCCGAAGCTACAGTGAAAACAAAAACAGAAACACACACAATTAAGGAACAGAGGAATTGTCTATTTGAGCATATTACTCATTTAGCCATATGAATTATATTACTGCCTGGAAATAGTTTTTCTAAAGTCCCAGTTCTCATTGTCCACAGGCATAATGTTCCAACTCTCTTTTTAATCTTGCTGGTGCTTATCACATCAAAGGAAGGCAAAGAGATATGACTGACGAATGATTCTGAATTAACTGTATTGTAGGTCAACTTGAAAGTTGACCTACGCATGGCCTGTAGCTCATTACATTATAGGCTCTCCTTATCAAAGTTCTGCTCTCATCCTTCATTGGCCAAATGTCTCCCTTCAGGTTTTGAATCTTGATTCAGCTCAAAAACTTGGGCTCTTTAGAAAAAGGGGAAATCTAGGCATCATTCAACAGGTGGGGAGAACTTTAGGTGAACTGGGCCTTGAAGCCACCCTAAAACCTTACCGCTCTGCAGTCTCCTACCCTTTATAGATCCACTGTTTGTATTTAATGGAGGTGGAAACATGAAATATCTAACGATATCAAAAATGTGTCTGCCCAGGTGCCATGATGATATAGTTGCTGTGCTCCAGAAAGAAGTACTGACAATTATTCTTCAGGGTAAGTTAGAATAAACATACCCAAATTTCTAACAGTGCATAATTACACATCATTCCCACATTGTTAAAATGGGAAGCAGGGCAGCTGCATGAAAATGAAATGAAAGTGTACTGAACAATTATCTTAGTGCTGCTTTGTTCATAACTGTCAGAATGTATACAGGGAAAAAACACCCCAAATGCAAGTAAATACGAGAGAAGATGATAAACAATGTGTATATTTTCCAAACAAATATTCCTATTCAGGAGTATTCAGTCAAATCTTTTGATAAGGTGATACACATACATATTTATCATTGGTCAGAGGAGAATTTTGCACAAATCTCGGTTCCTTTTTGCACTAATTACCATAAAGTATGCATGTGTATATGTATAGCTTAGTTTTGGTTCAACTCTGGATTGAGTTGGACATTTCACCATATAAAATATAACAAAGCCTATGGAAAATTAACATTAATTAGTTACTCATTTAGCAAGGTGTGTTAAATTTCTGCTTGGGAATAATATTTTTATTGGTGAGCTCATATATTCTGGGTATATATGATGTGTCAGACAACTAAGGTTAACCAAGATCTTTACATATTACATTACTTAATCCTCACAACAATACTATGAGATAGGGACTAGTCTTATGCCAGTTTTTCAAATGAAGAAAGTGGGACTTGGAAAAGTTAAATAACTTGCCTGCCATCATAAGGTGGCAAGTAGCAGAAGCCACTATGAAAAACCCTGAAGGGGACAGTGCAGTGGACACTTGAAACTGACCTGGCTTGGCTCTCTTCCAGGACAGAGACCCTCATGAAGGAGAAACTACTGGGAGTGAAATCAAAATTGAACTGGATGGGGACAACAGAGATAAAAGAAAGGGAAAGTCCAGGTAAAGTGGGGACAATTGTCAGAGCCAGGCTATCTCACCAGTCAAGCCACTGTGTTGGTTTTTTTTAATCTTAAAATTTTTACTTTGGTAAAATATATATAGCATAAAGTTTTCCACTTTAACCATTTTTAAGTGTACAATTCAGTGTCATTAATTAGCTTCACAATGTTGTACAACCAACACCATCATATAGTTCCAAAATATTTCCATCACCCCAAATAGAATTGTATAAACATTAAGCAAAAATTCCCCATGCTTCCCTCCCCCCAGCCCCTGATAAATCTACTCTCTGTCTCTATGAATTTGCCTATTCTAGAACATTCATATAAGTGAAATCATACAGTATTTGTCATTTTGTGTCTAAGCCACTGTACTTTTAAATGTTACACAAAAGTAACAGGAGTGAGAGCTCTGTGAAGCTAGAAGACCCATCTGCTCTTCTAGCTTCTGTCTAAACCTTCAGGAAGATTGAGTTCACATAAAAATGAGCAACTTGAAATCATCAAGGTCAAAACTCACATAAAATTATTATAAGAAAAATATATCATCTCTACACAAACTAAAAGCATGCCAGAAAAATATGCCTGTAAAACAAATTAAAACTGTAATCTACTATTTCAAACATATTAAAATACACTAAAAATTGATGCAAGATATGAAAGAACATAAATTAGAAAAAAATTATAGGATGAGGTCATGAAACTCAGAAAAGAATTATAAATAAAAGAAAAATCATTTGAAGACTAAACAAGAATGAATAAACACAATTGCAAATGCCTCAAGAGAAATAAAAAGAGAAAACAAGGAAAAATTTTTACCCAAAATAAATTTTTGAAAAAGAGATTTAAAAAATTTGAGTAAAGGTGACAAATATTGGAGATAGGCAAAGAAAATTCAATTTATGGCTACTAGAGGTCCCTAAAGAAGAAAATCAAAGCAAGAAAACAGAACGAATACTAAGAACTCTAATTCATGAAAGTTTTCCTCAATATATATATATAAAATTTTCAATTAAAGTGTTATTATATAAATATAATCACTTACATATTTATTTTATATAATTATTTTTAAATATATAAATTATATTCTTTATATATTCAATGTAGAAATATATATTCTATATAAAAATATATATTATATATATATAAACTATTTTCTGAAAAAGCGTATCATGTACTTGAGAAGAGTGACCTATACTATCAACCAAGAAAACTGGATTCTAAAGAAAAAAGGGGCAAATCCTTATGTACTTAGGCAAATAGAGCATGTGACTTATAAAGGAAAGAAAATCAGATGATGACCAGGCTTTTCAACAGCAAAGCTTTTGCCAGAAGAAAATTAAATACCATATTTAAGATACTCAAGGGAAGAAAATATGAGCTAAGAATTTTATAACCAGCAAAACTGACTTTCAAGGATATAAGCCACAGACCAAATTTGATCAACATGCAAGAACTCAGAAAATATTGTTGCTATGAGACATAGGGAATCTGTTAGAGAACAAACTTTACCTGGCAAAATAACTAGAAAAACATCAACATAATATCTAGAAAAACATAAGTACTGGCAGTGAGCATTCAATATATACATGTTTATAGAACTAAGAATATAGGATAGTCAAATGGGAGAGAGTATAATATAAAATGGATGTATGCTCTGGCAATGAAGAGGTAAAAATGAAAAGAGAAAGGGAATCTTTTTTGTGAAAAGATTTTAACTATCTTATGTAATTTTAATTATAATGGTAGTATGAAGATTGCTATTCTAACACTATTGTGTTTCAAGGTAAAATAAAGCAAACAGTTATGAAAGTTTATTTCTCATCTCCTGTGTACTTGCTAACCAGAAGTGTTGGTGTGGAAGGAAGATGATGTAATATAGAAGAGGTTAAGGAAAAACCCTATAATCCTAGATCTGAAGTAGAAATATCAGTATGAACACATGAGATTTTAAAGTGAAAACACATACACACACACACACACACACACACACACACATATACAATTTCCAAGTTCTGTCCAATGAAAAGGTCTAAGAACAATGTCCAGCCCAGTAGCAATGAACATCTTGAAATACAATTTTCCCCTAAACCAAACTAGGACTTCTTAGAGAAATGGTTGATTCCAATTTCTCTGGGGCTAGAAATATACAAATAGCCTGAAATACCTTATTATACCAGACAGCAAAGAGAGATCAAAGACTACTAGGGTCATGTAAAAATAACTCAGGAGGCTCCCACTTGGCCAAAGACTAGACAATTTAAACGTCACAAAGAATAAAAATTCCAGTGTCTTGAAACCCATCAAATATGTTTAAATGAGTTTATAATGACTAAAAAATAATAATAATTAATTGGTCACCTTCAGAGGATGACAAAGAACCAATTCATTTATCTTGGAAGGATCAAGAATACATCTTGCCTTTCCTACATGAACTGAAATTCTTTGTAACGAGGAAAATGTCTGTCTATAAATTTAGTCCACTTAATAAATGAAGACAAAATGATAGAATATCACCATTTTGCAACCTTTAATGAATTAAGACATCAGACAATGAACAATAGTGGTTGAAAACATCACAAAAAAGGTACAACAATTTAAGAATTGTGAATCACTATATTGTACACCCATAACTTATATAATATTGTATATCAACTATACTTCAATTTAAAGAAAGAGAGAACCAGACATTATGTGCCTTCTGATGAAACAGCACAATCCCAAGTATGGTGATGCCAAAGGGATCAAACTTGAACATGGTAGAAGCTCTGGATCCCCTTGGTGGTTTACACAAAATATAGAAGACAGAATAACATATGGGACTGCATCACACATATCTATTCAGCTAAATGCAAACTCTAGAAACCTTACAGTACAAACCATCCGGGTTCCTCAACAGATAGATTATAAGCAAAAGAAAGGGATGGAAGGGGTTGCAACAGATTAAGAGACTAAAAAATAAATCCCAAAACGTGGGCAAACCTAAACTATATCATCTGAAGATGAATATCAGAGTGATAAAACCACAAAGGAATACAAGGAAGTGAGCATTCTCAAAGTCAGGATAATGTTGCTTTTTGAGGGAGGCAGGGAATATAAAAGGCGTTTCTACGGAGGCTGGCAAAGTCTATTTCTTGACCTGTGTAGTGGTTACAAGAGTGTTTGCATAATGATAATGCTTATTGTGTGTGGATTTCTATATCTATGCTTTATTTTATAATTAAAAATTTCAAAAAAGAAAGAAACATTTCTCATGCACACTTTTCCAATTTTATCTAGATGGAATACAGACATGACCCCAAGGTGACCTGGGAAGCCATGAATTGAAGGTGCTGTACAACCCCTGTTCCCCCCAATCAACCTACACCTGAATACATGGAGGAGAGCTTCCCAGTGTTCTGTCACTGGCCCAGTATTGTTACATGATTAAGAATGCAGTTCTATTTTGTTGGAGCTGTTGCACATTTTGAAGTTTATTAGTTATAGTAGTTGGTC